TTAATAATGAATATATATTATTAATCGAACAAATATCTGGCCTTGATTGGATAAAATTAATTAAGAAATTTAACTATGGATTTATATTCAAGGATGACCATATTAAAGGAGCACCTGAACAGGCATTCGAGGTTGATGTTGATAAAGTTACATCAAAAAGAGAAATCAAACCAACTGATAAAGTTGATAAAATCGAGGAATGCGAAACTGAGTTGGATACTTTATGCAAAAAAAATTTCATAACATATGGCGGTATCAAAGCGATATTACCTTGGCTTTCTGTATTTCTTGGTGTATCACATCAAGAGTCAAAAAGTAAGCTAAAGAACTGCAAAAAATCAACCATTTATTCGATTACCAAAACAAAAAGAGCATCCATCGTTTTATCAAAAGAAAACATTCGTTTAAAACCTGCTTTTATTAATGACATTAAAAAAATATTAAATAATAATGAAACAAAAGATGTTAATAAATTAGAAATCCTTCGTGATATTACGAAAAAATACGGAAATTTCTATGCGAGCTACATTGTTTTTGGAGGAGCTACAGTTAAAACTCAAATAAATACTAAAAATTCGAGTAAGTAGCATAATAAATTTGAGGAATTAATTACTCGTTTTCGCTATATATCAGATATATATATTTTTCATCTTTATATTTAGGCGAGATTACAGAAGATAAAATGACTGATGTTAACATTACAATCAGCTCTATTGTACAGAATGGGTTTACATTTATAACCAAAAATAAATCAAAAACTTCTGCTGATAATAAGTATTCAGTAGAGCGAATTATTGGCAACGAATCGAGCGAAAACTACGAAGATTGGGGAATAGTTGAATATGATGGCGTTAATCCAATATTTGAATTGCTGGATTTTGAATTGCAAAAGAAAATCAAAGAAATCTTGGGATATAGAATTTTAAAAGGTGATAATACTATCTACATAGCTATATATATATATATTTTTTATATAAATTTGACCCATATGTAATTAATGAATTTTTTTTGGCAGCAAATGTTGAAGAAATCAAGTTTGATTGGAATGTTACAGAAAAAAAACAATATGTATATCAATTCGCTAATAAACTGAATGAAATTCCGGATGGGCATGAATGTCATATTTTTGCATCAATAATGAACAAAGAGGATGAGAACGTATTTTCATTGCGAGTAGATTATGAAGATAGATATAGCCCTGTAATTTTAGTTCATGGCTGTGTATATTCTTAAGATTTAAATAAATACAAGAAATTCGTAATGCTCGTTAAAACCCACTCTTTTCATAAAATCTGAATTCTTAAATAGACTAACTCTAAACATGTCCTAATGCTAAAAAATTATAGAATTTTAAAAATTGATGTTTTTAGTCACAAATTTGCCAAATAGTCTGTTAAACACTACTTTTCAATTAAAATTTCATCAATAAAAAAGATCTTAAGATTATGAATTACTTATTATTACAAATTGATATTATGTGTATACATGTTGGCAAAATTATAGTTTGGATTTGAGCATGCTATATATAAATTTAACAGTTAAATGAGTTAAGTACAATTTTTGAATTAAGTCTTTAAGTATCTGATCATGAGGAAATAGACAATAAATCTTAAGAGTAAGATGTGTAATATTTGAATACTTTTCTATTATGGGAAGCATTGTTTCCTGTATCAACACTTCTAAAGTTAATTTTTTCAGGTTTGGCATTTTAATATTCATCAAAAATTTTTCAATATATAACTTTTTTAAAATTTTAAATTCGAAATTATTGTGTAATATCATATGTCCAGAGTGATTCAAAATCACAATATTTTCTAAATTTTTGCAGCTGGCAAGTGAATCAATACAGATTCTGAGATATTAACACACTCGAGTTTGATAGATATTAATGAATTAGCTTGAAATTACAATGCTTTAATTATTTTATCTACCTAGCTATCTATATCCCTGAAGTTAAATTCTTTTAATTTTTCCTGTGCATTTATAATCGATATAATAGAATTTTTAATTTCAGGATTATTTTCAAATGCAGGAACTTTGACAATTAGATAATTTATTTTTTTATATGACTTTGATATTTTTTCTAAAAGCTTTATAGTGTAGATTGATATTTGAGTATATTCAATTGCAAGCTTTGTAATATTTAAATCTTGACTAATTTTAGGCTAAAATTCTAGAACATTCATAATATTATCGCTATTGAGTTTTAAAAATTTTAGATTCATACTTTTAATGAATAATTGGAATAAAAGCAAAATTATTTGCTTCTTAATTTGCATAACTTGTTTTTCTGACTTTTTATTAGAACAAAATTTAGCAATCCAAGTATGTACAATTCTTCCCAAGTTCTTTATCAAAAATTTTTCTAGCATCATTGGATATTAAATAAGAGTTTTTCATGTAGTATCAATTTCAAAATAGATTTTTGGTCATAAAATATCTAAAGTTAATTTTTTTCATGTTTATCAAGAAAAGAAATATAAACTGACGTAATCTTGTAGACATTATCAAAGTTTAATGGATCAAATAGACAAGCCCACAATAATATCACCACATTTTTACAACAGTAATAGTTTACTAATAAAGACGGATATAATGATTTATCATTTTTCTTAATATATTGAAATATTTCTTTCATACATTCAGTAGGAAGCATAATGTTGAGAAATATTAAATGAAATAATAGACATATAAATGCTATATTTTAATATTATTCATAACTCTAAAACTTCTTAAAAATTTGTAAAATGATAACTTGTAACTTTCACTATATATACTCGATAAAGTGCCATGAGCGCACCTTATATATTAAGGTAAAAAACATTATCAATAATCTAGATTGATAGTTTTTCTGATAATTCAAACTATATATTATTAATTAGATAAATATATGTAATTTAGAAATTAACAATAATACAGTATATAGCTGAATTAGAGTGTCCAGGGTACTGCAGTGCATAATTTTGCTCACGCTAAAAAATGCTTTTTTACATTGTATTTTGATTTAAAAGGTGATTTAAATAACATGTTACTTATGAGAATAATATAAAAAATTATTTTTAGCATGAGCAGAATTATGCACCGCATACTCTAGACACTCTAAAAAATTTTTTAACTAAAAAATAAGTACATTGCACAATTAGCAAAAAAAATTTTGAATCGTATTTCAATAAAATTATTGTTTTGAATAGTTGTCTAATAGAAACAATACATAATTGAATTAAATTAATGCATCATTTTATTTAAACTAGCATTAAAATTTTTGTTCATTAATACATATGTATAACATTCTTATTATAAACTTTATATACTGTACATTATTTTGGGCCAAAAAGGTTTAGAAGGATATTAAATTACTGTAAGATAAATTTCTTTCAAATAATACTGTATTCTAACAAAAATATTGTATTTAGTTATAGGTCTTAAAAATTCAAAATTCAAATGTCATATCCCGTGATTCATAATTTATAAATGCAACCATCTATTTTTGTATTGTCCCATCACTGTGTATTTAATAAGTCAATAATTATTTTTCTTATTTATAAACCTAAAAATTTTTGTTAAAAATCAGGTTTGATTTGAATATATCATTTTTCATTAAAAATAAAGATATCAATTCGTTAAGCAACAATGAAAAGATAATGCAAAATTTCTATCTTCTGATCTGATGATGTTTCAATTGTTTCCTAAAGAAAAGATCTATAAGAAGTGATAATACTGAATTAAAGAGCCTTAAACATAAAAGATATGAGTAAATACAATGTGCAAGAATTAATGATTCTTTAAAAAAACTTAATGACCAATTGTCTATATATAAAATGAGTAAAGTTGAAATATTAAAAGAAGACAAGCATTCATTTTTATAATTTGATCAATTGTCCGGAGCATAGCGGCTTTTTAGTATGATAACAAAGTCATGTTTTAAGACAATATTAATTAAAATATAAATAAATCAAAAACATTACTTTTGAAAAGAATATCTGTCTATAATGATATATAATGATACTCGTACTAATCTAGTTATTTGCTAAATTTTATTCTTTACAATTTCAGCACATGTAAAAATTGAAATTATTGACAAACTACTAGAAAATAAAGTCGAAATTTATGCGAAATTTGTCAAATGCAATCAAGTGAAATTATTCATTTATTGAATGAAAATAATTTATTAAACTAAATTTGTTAGATTCAATTAAGTCGAAACCATTTTGAGATTTGGCATATTCAAATAATATATCGAGGTCTGAATGTAATAAGATTATTTTAGTGTATTCATGTACCTTCTTATATTAATATCATCATCTACAGAAGAATTTTTGAGTTGCTCATCACATAATAGGTCTTTGCTATAACCATCGATCTAATGCCAAAAAAATTATTTTTTTAATTATTGAAATAAATAGTCAGAACCCTTTAAGTGATATGTAAAAAAAAATTAAACATATATATAATCGATATCAATATTGATAACTAAATTTGAGTTAAATGATTGTTGATTTCTTAATCTAATATATAGAACATAATGATAATGATAAGTACAGAAATCTTCATTCCTCTTTCGCATAAAAATTGAAAAAAATATGTATAATTCTTGTTTTTTATTATTTACTGAGAATATTTCAAATACATATATATCTATATCTATATTGATATAGATCTTTCACATACGAAGTATTATGTTTATTAGATAAGAACTTATTTAGCAATTGAGCTATGTGATTATTCAATAATGTTTATTATTTGATATTATTTGATGCTTCATCCATTAGACTGAGAAACATTATGTAGCAGTTTAAATAACACTGCGTATCAGTTTAGTGGTCTATCATTCAATTCGTTTAAAAATTCAAAGAACACTGTGCAGCAGTTTAGTTGAGCTCAAAGAACATTATGCAGTAGTTTATTAATAAATTGCTGAGAATATTGATAACTAAATTTGAGTTAAATGATTGTTGATCTCTTAATCTAATATATAGAACATAATGATAATGATAAGTACAGAAATCTTCATTTCTCTTTCGCATAAAAATTGAAAAAAATATGTATAATTCTTGTTTTTTATTATTTACTGAGAATATTTCAAATACATA